CYSRGGGAGGGGTCGGTCGGGTGAGGGAGGGAAGGGGCCGAGTGAGGCAAGGAATGAGGCGGGTGAAGCAGGGAAAGAGCCGGGTGAGGCAGAGAAAGGCCGCGTGAGGCAGAAAAGCGGCGGAGGAGCCCAAGCAGCGACCCGCCCCTCACCGGAGCCCCGGGGCGCGCAGCCCGATCTGGCGGAGCAGGCGGCGGTTGCGGCAGTGGCGGCCCGAGCTGAGGTGCTCCAGGATGCGGTCGCGCCGCACCCTCAGGGGCAGCTGGCACGGCGTGCAGAGCAGCGTCTCCACGGCTGAACAGCTCGGCCCCGCCGGCTCCCGCCGCACCGATAGCTCCGAGAACTCGGCCGCGTAGTCGTGCAGCGTTTTCCTCCTCCGCCCCATGGCCCGGCCCCGCTGACTCGGAAGCGGAAGGCCCGCCCGCCTCACGCCGTTGCCCGGCAGCGGCCCCGCTCCGAGCCCCGCGGCGCCGGGAGAGGCCCCGCTCCGGCTCACCGAACGATGGAAGACATTGAAACGGTGGGACAGCTCCGGGAGGAGCTGCGGAAAGCCAGGGATGACCACAACATGGCCTTAGGTACGGCGGGAGGTGCCCAGAGCACAYCTTTACCTGCCTAGGTCTCCTACAGTCCGGCTCCTTTGACCTTAGAAACATTACAGGGTGCTGCTCACAGAGGGAGGCTGAAAAGCCATTTGTTTTGGAAACACTTTCTTTCTCCCCTTGGAAAGTGAAGAACATGAGAAAAGCCAGCAGAGCCAGCCCTGAGCAGCATCCTGGRGCACCCAGCAGTGTCTGGCAAAGCAGGGTTTGATGTCCACTCCCCGTGTTCTCAGAGCAGCGCCCACCTCACACAAAGTCTGGTGGTTTAATACACGTGGAATCACGGAATGGTTTGGATTGGACCTTAAAGCTCATCCAGCACCACTCCCTGTAATGGGCAAGGACACCTTCCACTAGACCACGTTGCTCCAAGCCATGTCCAACCTGGCCTTGGGATCCAGGGGCAGCCACAGTTTCTCTGGGAAATCCATTCCAGGGTCTCACCACCCTCACAGGGAGGAATTTTTTCCTAATATCCAATCTAACCCTGCTCTCTATTAGTGGGGTTAGGTGAGACAGATACTTAGGGTGAAGCCATTCCCCCTCATCCTGTCTTTCCAAGCCCTTATAAACAGCCTCTCTCCATCTTATCAGCTCCTTGTGGTACTGGAAGGCCACAATGAGGTCACCCTGAAGTTTGTACACTCCAGGCTATACAAACCCACTTCCCAGCAAAGTATCACAATGCTATCACCCAGAATCACTGTGGCTGCAGCATTAACATGACCCAAGTCTGTTCCTAGACTGTTCCCACAGTGGCTCTGCTTATGCTCACCTGAAAAAAAAAAAAAAGCAACTACACGGATTTGCTTTGCTAACTGAGTACTCCTGCTTTACAGGTGCCATTACTTCCTTGCAAAGACAGATGGAGGTCCAAGAATCCGAGCTTCGGAGAATCAGATCTGAAAGGGAAGTGCTCCAGAAGCAGCTCACAGAGAGAGAATTCCAGCTCCAGGATGCGTATGACAAGGTACAGCCTGAGAATGTGGTGGCYGTGGCTGCCAGGAGAGCTGGCAGCTGGTAATTTGGGATTTATGCAACAGTTTCCTCTCATAAGCAGGAGGGACACCTGCAGYAACTTGACACCTGAAGTGTCAAGTATTTTCCTTTCAGTTTTGGGCCGCGACAGAAGGACAGATGCCGGAAAAAATGACAGTGATTACGGAAGAGGAGTACCAGAGGCTTCTCCAGGTGAATTTGTACAAAGCCTSTACAGAAAAGGCTGGTTTTTGTTTTAGGGCTGGGGGAGTTTGGCATGTAAAACCCATGCCCAATCCAAGTAGTTTTAGAGAAAACACCAAGTAGTAACAGCTACGAGTACTGGTGAGGTTGTTAGCCTGTAGATTCTGCCCAGGAAGSATTTGGACCAAATACTGGGAAGATRAGGCCAAAGCTGCTCAGTTTTCCTCCCCCTAGTAACAGCTGGATTTCTGTGTCTGCTCAGCTTATTGCAGACCAGGAATCGCAGCTGGATGAGCAGAGCAAGCTGATCAGTGAGYTACAGAAGACCATCAGCCAGCTACAGGCTGAGGCTGTGACCAACCGCCTCCACCTCCTGGAGCAGAAACAGACCCAGAGGGAGATCCAGAGACAGGCTGAGGAACTRGAGCAAAAGGAGCTGCAAGCCAGAGTGGCACTGGAGTGCATGAGCACCAAGGTAAGCATGGCCTCTTTCACCTCAGAGCCCTGTCTCCCTCTTGGGACACACTTGGGAATCTCATTTGCTCCCCAGCTGTGGAGCAGGCAGCTCTTGTACCACTCATAAACAGGCTCAAATACCAGCAACCCTTGAGAAATTTGAGTTCAGATCAGTTACATTACCAGATTTCTAACATCCTTTCAGACTCAAGGTAACAAAACTGCCTTAAAGCCATTTCCTGCAGRCAGATGTGCCTGGGGAAGAACCCCAGCCCACCTAGACCCACCTAATTCCCACAGCACTTTCAGTGAAGCCCAAACCACCTGCAATTTCACATAAACACTTCCCACCTCATCATTCACCAGTCCTTTGCCCAAGCCTGACAGCACAGTCTCTCTAAATCCATGCAAATGCCAAGGAATTGCTGTCCTCTTTCATCCAAAGTCTGAAAGGTTTCGAAACAGAATAATCCAGGCTACGTTCAGCACAGAGGGCAGCCACGACCCCCAGACTGAGCTCACAGACGACGAGGTGCTGGAGGCAGTACAGGTACGTGGCCTTTCCAAACACCTTCCAGCAGCCAGGAAGGGACTGCTGAGGTAAGAGAACATTTTTCAGTGCTGCTCTCGGCCTTCTCACACCTTCACATATCCCTGATTTTCAGAAAATCATTTGTGAGCGGACGGAGTTCCAGCACAAGCTCCACCCGAGGAACAGGGGTAGCAGGATGTCACTGCTCAGCAGCAGTGACAGCCGCCTGCCATCACCTGCCACRGCAAGGAAAAGGAGCTCTAGCAAGCTAGCCTGATGGCTGAGCCAGAACCCATCACCAGCCTCGGGCTTCTTGGCTCTGAGCTGGCTCCTTGCAACAAATTAAACTTATTTTACTGAAATCAGGTTCTGTGGGAGTGTYTGGTTCAATTGTTTCAGCTGATTCAGAGCAGAAGTCACTGTAACACTTGGTCTGTTAGTAACACTTGACTTCTCAGAGAAGCCTGAAGGACAAGGATTGCTTGGCTACAAGTAGCTGGGAAGTGTGAAATTCCCACATTTGCTTTGGGAAGTTTCTACATGACACGACTGAACATCCACCAACGCCAAAATGAGTGACAGTGCCATGGCTGCAGGAGCTGTTTTATTTTTCCATTCCATGTGCAAGTCCCAACACGGGGATGTATTTGACACAGTATCAGTTCAGTTAGAGCTATGAGACACCATTTTTACCACAACAGTCCATCTGGAGGTCACCCTAGCTTAGGGARAGGTGTGAGCTCACACCAGCATTCACCCACGCATCGAGGTCACCCACAGACTGCTAAATGAGAACTGCTCCAACTGCCTTTATGGTGGAAGGTAAAAATAGATGGGTGGGACAGAAAGCTCCAGGAGGATCACTGGGCATCAATGCCTGTATTCTGGGGGGACCAGGAGTTCAGTAGTGTCAGTTTGAGGCAGYTCTGAATGGACCTGAACCTCCTCAGCAAGAACAAAGCCAGTGATTGATCACAGTAACTTTCCAGGCACCCACAAGGTCACTGCAATTCCCACAGGGATGGAGGAATGGCCCTGAAATGCACTGGGACACACAAACCCTACAGTCAATTCAACTGACCCCTCACAGATGGAAGCTGTGCTCATGCCTGAGCACAGAAACCGTCACTTTAAAACTCATCCCTCAAGTTCTGACAGCAATTAAATGTTTCTGACAGCAACTAAATGTTCACGGTTACTCCAGATAAAAATAAAATTCTGCAGAACGAGATGTCAGCAAAGTGCCTTGGCATTCTGACTCCAGGTTGTACCCAGCAGAGGACCTCAGTTYCACACTGTCAATTACTGCATTTCTCTGCTTCCAAAATAATGATCCAGATGAAACACCAGAAGAAAAAGTGATCTTGCAGAAAAATGTGACTGTGCTGGTTTTAAACATCATGATGATTTTCTCTAGTGCATTCTGACATCCAACCCTTTCTCTGCCTTCAGTCCACRTTTGAAGATGTAGTTTTTTCTGCCCAGGTCCAACACTGATGATCTCTGTTAARGCTGAAAGATCCCAATTCTCCTTGCTGTAGCTCATCAAACTCTGAAGCCATTGCCTTCCCAGCAGGATGCTCCACATCTTTTCTTTAAAAACCCAAACCATCTGGCTGTGCACCAGCTGCGGTGGATATGGGGAAAAAAAAAAAAAAAAAAAAAAAAAAAACCAACAAAAAAAGGAAATGGAATCCTCTCCTCAGCTCAGACAGGTGCTAACGGATCACAGTCAGCAGAGAGGACACTGTGGCCAGGTCAGTTTTTGAAGGATAAAGTACTTTCAAGTTCCCATCTGTGTCCACYACTCGCACCTGCTCCAGCACCAAGGGCAGGTTCGAATTCCCTGGTCCACAGAGAGCATCYGATTCCATATCTGAGCCCGAGCCTTCCTTGTTCTCCAAGGCAGATCTGTTCAGTTCTGCAATTTTCTGTTAAAAGCAAAATACAGRGAACAAGATCAGTTCTGTGGCAGAGAATGAATGAGAGGGAATAACAATACTACTAACATACAAATAGCTTTTGTGTTCTTCTCAATGCATGTGAGCAATGACACATTTGGTAGGAGCTCCCCCAAGAAGAGAAGGGTATTTTCCTGATCTTCTTACCAGGATAAGGATGTCCATCACATCTTTGCAGATCTGTAAACTGGTGTCACTCGTCACTTCAAGAAACAGGTCCCGGGTCTCTTTTTTAATCTGTAAGAGTTTCAGAGATGAAGTCAGGAAYCACAGCACCTCACTCCCAGCCCCCYRGACATGTCCCAATACACAGAGCTGAATGCTTTCACTCAGTTTAACCAGGGGCAAAGCTCTGCTGTTTTTTTCTCAAAACTCATGTTCTTGCCCTTCCTCAAAGCCTTTGCACAGGCAGGCTGGTACTTTGGAACAATTTCCAGAAGTAAAATTGTGATTTTTCCAGAAGTAAAAGTGAGGTCCYTCTCAGCCTGACAGTGGAGCCCATTTGATGCAGGCTGTGAGAGTTTGTATTTGGAATGCAAGCACAGGTTTCACAGAATTGTGTATGTCTTTCAGTCAAATMTCTCTCAGCAGAAAGAAACACTGTTTCATTATTAATGTGTTTCCATGAATGGGAAGTACCTTTGTCTTCTCACTGTTGGTTATTGGTGGGAAGGAAATCACAGCACCTTCAGCATCCACCAGGCACGGGTARTTGTCTTTGCCATCCAGCAGCTGCAGGTATCTGCCACGAGAAACAAAACAGCAAAAAGTGAGCAACTGAGAGAGCAGCCAGACACAACGGCAGGAAACAGTGACAAAAAAGAATTAGTGTGTGATCTGTGCATGAGCAGTGAACAGCACAGGGCAGAGCCACATGCTGCTTTACATCCCATCTGCTCCTATGTGGAGTTYACCCCATCTCTGATTCACTTAGCTCACAGCATGTGCACACACACCCTTCATTCCTCTCTGCTTCCCTTCTATCTGCTGTTCTAAGCAGATTTCTCACATCCCCAGCRCAGTCACCTAAATGCCTGTGGAGAAAACCACAACAGGGTACTGACTTGTGCAGCCCAGAGACATTCTGACGCTTCTTCTGCTTCCGCTGCTCCTCAGCCTCCAGCTGCAGCTGGCGGAGAAGATCCTTTGCCTTGATCTCCTTCCGACCCAGGGGCACGATCTGCACCACACAAGAAAACAAAATTTCATTCAAACACTGGGATTACAAAACTCTCCTGTAAGCAATTCAAGAATTAAAACAATACTCCTGCATATTTTCATGCCTTTTTAAGCATGGAAATACTTTCCATTTCACAAGGACTGCTGTAACACCTACTTGAAAAACAGGCTCAGTCACCAGTACTAAACCAGGCACCTGGTACAGCAGCACAGCAAGAAAACCAGTACAACTTCTAAAGTCCCTGGAGTTTATTTTCTTGGATCTATGGGATAAGAAASTACCATTAAGCCCTACCTTGAGCTCATCAGGAGGCTGGACATCGTATGTCAGAGGAGCTTTGACCAGCTGCAAGTCGTGGGTGGCAATGGTGGCTGCTGTACGCTTCTCACAGATGTCCTCATGCAGCTTGGTCTGAAATATAAAGGATGTCATCGAAATAGATCAAAAAGTCAGCGTGGTTTTTCCCTGCCATGTGCAGATCCTTCTGTTTTTAATGTCTGAGGCACTGCCAGCCAGGTGAGTATGAAACAGGGCCCTTCCCTTCACTTGTATCTTTTGGGCATTACGGCCCAAACGCAAAGGTAGCGAAGGCTGACAACATGTGATGCCTTTCTCAACAGGAAAATCAAGATTTAGTAAAAAAAAAAATCCCAAATACTCTTGTAAACTAAAAGCAGCTCCCGCCTGCCAGGGGAAGGATGCTTCGTCTGAAAGTCAGGTGTGTAACATGATTTTAGCACAGATCAGGGAACCTAGAGCCAGCCCAGGGGACCTCTACACATGGACACAGGGTTAGTTTTAGCTCTGAACAGTTTCCACAGCACTACCAAGATGCTGTTCTAGACACAGCATAAATGTGGGTGCATCCATTGCCCTCATGGCAATACCTGAGCTCTGACGAGCCTTTTTCAAAATCCATTTCTCCTGATTTTGCACTGACTGGGAATGTGCTGCTGGCGGGACCACTCACCCTCACACCTGCTGGCTRAGGAGCTCACCCAAAGTTTCATAAACTCATCTAGGAGCCTAGAAGTTGGGTCTATTTCTAACTCTGCCAGCAATATTCCCATTCCAAACAAGCAGCATGAGGCCACAGCAGTTACCTGCATGGTCAGGAACCTCTTGAGAGAATTTCCCGGCTTTAAGTTCACTCCCTTCAGCACAGAGCACACGATGAAGGCTCGAACATCTTTGACACCCGGGCTCACTTTGACCACCAAAGGCGCTGGGTTCTCAGAGACATGCAGAACCTTCACCAGCAGCTTGCTTGCCTCTTCCACCTCATCCTGCTCCCCATCCCCACTGTCCTTCTTCTGCTGCTTCTCCCTCTTCTTCTTCCTGACCTCCTCTCTGGCACCGTCGGCCTTTCCCTTCCCGCGGCCCCCGGCACGCAGGTACTCCAGGATGGCCTTCGTCTGGCACCCATTGACCATCTTCTCCAGCCGCTTGTCCTTCAGCTGGTTGCCCCTGAAGTTGGCCTCCTTCAGCCGGGGGCAGTCGGCCAGCGCGGCGGGCAGCTCCCGCAGCTGGTTGTTGGCCACGTCCAGACTCTGGAGGAGACAGARACGGGACGGTCAAGGGATGGCGATGGGAACCGGGGGGAATGACAGCGGGGTCCGCTCCCACCTTGAGCGCCGGCAGCGCCGCGATGTCCGCGCCCAGCTCGGCCACTTCGTTGTCGGCCGCGTCCAGGCGGCTGAGCAGCGGGAAGGGCGCGGGKGTCCCGGCGGAGGGCAGGAGGCCACCGGGCAGAGCCCGCAGCCGGTTACCGGAGAGCAGCAGCTCCTGCAGCTGCGGCGCGGAGCGGGCGAGCCCCGGGCCCAGCTCCCGCAGCCGGTTAGCGCTCAGGTTGAGGCTGCGCAGCTGCGGGAACGCCGGGGCCGCGTCCCCCGAGCCGTCCCCGGTGCCACCGAGMGCGGGGGGCAGCGCCTCCAGCCCGTTACCGGACAGATCGAGCAGGCGGAGCGCGGGCAGGGGTCCGCCCARCCCCTCGCCCAGCCCGGCCGGGCCCAGCGCGTTGCGGCTCAGCACCAGCGTGTGCAGCGCGGGCAGCGCGGCCGCCACGCCCGGGCCGAGCTCCCGCAGCGCCGCGCAGC